TAAACTGAAATCTATATATCTTGAATAAGACAAACAGGATAAAGGAATTGATTCAAATATGAATGGTTCTTTTTTAAAGTACAAAAGATGTGTGTTATTAAGATGTGCCATGAGATTTTTACCAAAGACTATGTATGAGAAGTAAGCACTTTTAAGAAAGGGGAACTCATTTAAAAGATATTTAATGTGCAAAATGCTTGGATTATTTAGTATAGACGAAGATAACTATCTGTGCTAATAAATAGATTAGATCCAGTAATTGTTGTATCATGAGTTGGTTTTTAAAGCCTATGCAGGACAAGTTCAAACTTGTTAGGGAATAGAACGAAAGACAGAAAATTAATGTGGAAGATACCTAAACTATAGATGATGACAGCTATCTGTGTCAATATAATGTTGAGATTTATTCATTGATGTACCATGAAATTAAAAACTCAGGATAAGAGTCGGTATTGTTTTTTTTAATAATATTAGCGTTAATTGTATGTATATTTCTATACGAGTTTCAGCAAATTCGCTTCTGTCTTTATCAGGAGAATTTCTAATATTCCTAATATTAGTGTAAGAAGTTCAAACTTTTAAAATAACAGAACAAAGAAGAAGAACCTATTCAAAAAAAAGGTAAAGCGTAAAATACTTGAAATATCTAATACATATGATGATAGCTATCGGTATCGTTATAATGTTGAGATGAACTTATTGATGTCTTATGAGATGTTTACAACAAAAATCATTCCATGAGAAATTTGAACTCATAAAGCAACAAAACAAAAGGTGCTAAATCTATAGCTGTTGATAGCTGTCGGGGTCCATATAACGATGAGTTTAAGTCTGTGATGTGCACGAGATAGTTTCTATAGACTAGGATAGCAGATATGTACTACGTATAGCAGTTGATATATCACCGCTAAAAATTGATCTATAGAAATTTGAGTAGGTGTATCAGATGATGTCCGAGAATGTGTTGAATTAATTTTATTGAAGACGATACGAATGAAAGTACAACATTTAAAATGAAAAACAGTACTAGAAAAATTGTGAAAGAAAATGTGGTGGAGGCTTCTGCCCAAGTTAGGCAATAATGTTGAAAATCACAACATTTTCCAATTAATGTGAAATGCATTTTCTTATATTTATATAAATTTACATTAAAAAAGATATTTTACTGTTCAAGTACTAATAAAAAAATAAATAGAAACTTAATTATATGCTTAATTGGGGCTTAATTTAATTCATTGAATGATATTAAGTTTATAATTAAATTAAATTCCATAAAGTGAGAAAAATTTCGTGCTAATTTTCTAAAAAATACAATTACAATAAACAAAATTACTTATTTTTCATTTCATTTTAGTAAAAATTTTTTCTACTTGTCATTATAATTTCTTTTATTGAAAATTTTCTATTTACTCGGTACTTCAAACATTATTACGCAGATTACATTAACGATTAAGTGTTCGAGCTCGGGCTAGTCGCAGAGGTTTGAGATACTCATTATCACTTAGTACTGCGCTTGAGGGGACATATGTCGGCGACTAACTTGACTGACATTACGAGACTTTCCATTTACAGTGCAAATTATTATTGACACTTTCTTTTCATTTTCCAGCTACGAGTGTAAAAGAACGAAAATTGCTGTCTCATCGGGCAAGTCTGCTAGTCTATTTGCCTAAGTTCTGCAGTTCATACTTTTTATTTTGTTCAGTGTAATTTTTCATTTAAATTTTTTCGTCCAATTTTGTGGGCTGCTAATGGCTTGTACCAACAGCAGCAATGAAGGTTAGTAAATATTTTCACTTTGTTGAAAGCCTCAACAATCTTAATTGTTTGTTTTTAGTGGCTGCAAAATATTTATTGCTTTTATTTATTTAATTAACAGTTCAAAATTTCTCGAAATGCCTTTATTTTATTTTGCTGTTATGCATGGAATCAATGACCCAGTAAGACTTTAAAGTTGAATTCACTATTTTAATTAGTTCTACATTGTATTGGGCAGGCATGGCGTATGAGAGACTTTAATTTATTGCTTGTTGAAGTTAGTTGACGTCTTTGTTGAGTAAAATGTTCTTACAACGTTAAATTAAAATTTAATAATATTTTTAGGAAAAATAATAAAGAGTCTTTGACTCTCCATTTGAGTTGTCATTGAAATTTTATTAAATTTGTCTCTGTTATTTATTTATTAGCAAAATTTTTAATTTTGCTCCGTATAGTTTATTTGATTAAGTTACCTTTATTAAGTTTATATGATAACAATTGTTTATGAAGTATGTCACAAAGTATATCAAATTGAAAGAAAAATTTTATTAAATATACTTTAATAAAGTTTATTTTATTTTTTGAACAGTTGTTGAATGAATTTAATTCAATTTATTTTTGAATATTAAGTAAAAGGACAACTACTAACTGACTTGACTTGCATATGACTTGCATATGACTTGCAATGCATATTAATTAAATAATTCAACGAAAAAGATTTCAACAATTCTATACAATTAAAAGTGTGATTAGATGCAATTTAGATTTTAATATTGCTTTTACATTATCATTGAGTATTTAATATAACAATGGATGAATTTAAGTAAAGGTATTGTTGCTTTGCTCCTCTTCTCAATACACAGCAAGTTTTTGTTCAGTATTGCCATGTTATCTAGAAAATGCAAAAACTATTTCTGGCACAATACATTTTGAGCTAACGAATTTAGAAATCACTGATTTTATTCACAACATCGGAGCTAAGTATCAAATACTTTGTCTATAAAATCTATTTTTATCAGCCGGTTTGCAATAAGCGTGCTAGGTCTAGTATGGTATTTTATATGAGATGTGGACATGGCTGCATTAAGTGAAAATAAAAGTTGGATATAAAGTTGGATATAAGATTCATAGATTATACAGCAGTAGTATTCATCTGTAAAGCTTTAGTAGAAGCATCTTAATTTTTGTATATATGCATATATTACATATATGTAAGTAAGCTTAATCGGTGAGTGATTGTTAAATTGGAGGGCAAACGAAAATGGAAAAAATCTGATAAGTTACGTTTATTCGTTCAGCTATCGCTAAGTTATTCTCAATAATACTGCAGTTCCATAAAGTGATTTTGCAATATAACTTTATATGTATGTAAGAAGGACTCACATGGCAACCGTGGTGATAGAAGAACAGTCAGTTAAGTTGGTGACGTTAAGCAGATAAGTCGTCGAAAAAGTTGTCAAGTTAAGTCATCACGTTGTGCCAGTAGTTTTGTTCTCACATTAACTTTTTAATATAATTGTTTATTTTTACTTAATAAAATATTAAAAATTAATCCTAATCTTTACATGTATATTAAAATTATTACGAAAAATTCATATTAAAGCAAATCAATTTCAACTCGTTCAATATACGGGAAATATAAGGGTTACCTTGACCCAACTCTCATTGATGTTTAATATTTGCTATACAGTCTTAATAAGAAGTCTTAGTACTGGTAAGAAGTAATGCCCAAGTTACATTGTATATATCAAACTACTAAATTCTATTATACAAAATTTTACAAAAATCGGTGAAGACATACAATATACATATTTCGGGTACTGTAAGTATCTCTAATACAGAGATATAGCAAACTTGTATAGTCAATGTCAAAGCTACATAATATGTATCAGACAATTCCACTCATCAGAATTTTTCGTTCGTTATGAAGAAAATTCTTAACATCACTGTAGGTATAAACTTTTTGGATTAAAGGCATTATTTAATAAAAGAAATAGGCGAAACATTTTGATTATTTGGAAACTAGTGTAAACTCCAAAAATGACGTCAGTTTAGAGATTCAATGAAGAATCATTTTTGCCAACAAATGTTAAAAGTTAATAGAAGTATCAGGACAATGATTATGATTGTTCTGTTGTATGGTGGAGAAGCTTGGTCAATAACCAAGAATGATGATAAGGCGTTCAAGAAGAATTTTTTTCAAAGATCTATGCTCCTATATTCCTGTCAACGAGTATCGAATTAGATAGAACGATATGCTGTATGAACTCTACCGTAACAATTAATGATTCTACTTCTTCTTGTTAGTGTCCGTTTCTGCTAGTGGGGCATAGGCATGCAACGATTTTCTTAAATCGTACTCTGCTAGATGCTTTTTTGCATATATCGGCCCATGTGTAGTGCCATATATGCCGCATCTTTCAATTGTCCTACAAGTTAAAACCGGTGCACCAAAGTGTCTGCTGGGTTGTGGGTTCCACTTTAAGGCTTATCGTGGAAGGTCGTCGGATAGGATGCGTAATCCAATTCCATTTTCAAAGATGGAAAGGGTAAGCCACTGATAGGGCTCGCTGGAGGGGACAACCGGTAGTGACCAAAGTCAACTCAATGTCTATTATAGCCAACTAAGTAAATAAGTGAAGAAAATAGTTGGAGATAATTATCGCAGTCATAAAAATAATTTCAGCATAAGGAAGTGAGTTAAGTCTTTGGTTGAAAGCTTGGTTTATAATTAGAACATCTTTTACTAGTATATTATATTAATCTATACTTTCTATACTAACGAATTAAGAACATTATTTATGTTATTATGTTAACTTACGTGCAATTCCAAATAGAACGAAGTAGAGAATCCTATATTCTTTACATGAAAACTTAAAAAAAATCTGATTAAATCAAATTTGTTTAAGCTTTATAAATTTATTACTTTTATTTTCCAGTGAGTAATGTGAAATAATGAAATATATCCCAACACCAATTTTAAACGGACTTTAAACTGACCGTCTGTTGCAAACACACATATTCCATTTTTTATTTTCATTAAATTGAGGTCATATAACAGAAATTCATTGGAAACTGCGAGAGCCTTATCTATTGTTTCCATGCCACTATGAGATTTCATTGCCATTTTTTTAGAGCTACTTACCGATGTGATAAGTAGCTCTGAGCTTAAACCCATAAACGTAACCCATAATTCACTTATGAAATCATATGAATCCGTAACTGTACAACATTTCACTTACCGACAACTGCGGTTGCTGTTGCTGATGAGGATTATTGCGCACAGGGTTGTATTTCGCTGCAATTTGCGCTGCAATGGCGCCATTACTCCCAACTGCATTAGGTGGTGGTGGTGGTAATGGTCCGCCATTACGTGGAGGTGGTGTATACACTGGGCGCGGCGCTGATTGTGCCGCTAATGGCGTTTTCAATTTCGGACCAAATATACTGAAATATGAAATTTAATAAAAAAGTTTTAGTTTTTATTATTAATGTTGAAAATGTTTTATACAAATGTTGCAAGCAATGCAGAAATTTTGTTCATTTCGTGAAATTATCATAAAAATTTATGATTTCGACCTTACAGGACTAATTTATCTCTAGATACTTTAATATTGGTTTTGTGATTTAAATTACAGTAATTAATGTTGATATATGGGTTTTGTATTAGTATATTTTTGTTATGTTATATTGTTTTTGTTGTTGTTTTTATTGTTCTACCTTTGTTGTTCTGGACTAATGAAAGGGTTTGTACTGTGACTAGTGGCGTGTACTGGTTGATAATTTTGTACTTGTGACTGATATTTTTGTTGTTTTTGTAGTGCTGGTGGTCTTTGTTGTTGTGTTGCTGGTGGTGGGCGTGGTTTCCTTTGTAATTGCTGTTGTTGCTGTTGTTGTGCTAGTTGTTGTTGTTGTTGAATTTGTTGTTGGAATTGTTGTGTTTGTTGTGTTGTACCTAAACCCCAATTATATAGTTCATTAGCGTCTTTTTCCTGTGGCTTGAAATAGTTGCCATCACTATCGACTTGTGCTACTCGATTAATATCACTTATGTATCTGCAATTATTGAAACATTTTCAGAGACATCTAAGGTTTATGTTTGATTAATAACAATTTGTCGTAAATTATTCATTTCTATTTGTTGTGTCAAATTAATTGTTAATATTGAATAGTTATATTATTGTTACATATACAGTTTATTATCAATTTAGTTTTTGCAGACATCAATTTATTGGTAATAATTGTTAATAATTATTTATAATTGTTAATAATTGTTTATATTAAATAGTAATGCTATTGTTACATAGTAAATTTATTACCAATTTAGCCATCGCAAACATCTGTTCACTGTTAATATGGGATATAATTGTTAATAGTAATAATATATTATTATAATAATATTAATATTAATAATATTAAATGGTTACATATTAAATTTATATAATTTTAGCTGTCGCAGACATCAGTTTATTGTTAATATTGTTAATAGTAGTATAGTAGTATTGAATAGTAGTATTATTGTTAGATATTAAATTTAATACCAGTGCTTCAAGTCTACTTCTCATATTCCGTATAATTATAATGTGTTTTTGACTTACTCTGAACCTAGTCCCGGACCAGAACTTTCCCAGTTTTCAAAGTGCTCATGCGAATGTGGTACTCCATATGTTTCATGTATGGGTGCGCCATGCAAATAAGTTGATATGTGCCCTTTAGGTGGATGACTGTATATTATTTCTGGTATAGGACTAGTTTCTGCATTATGCCAAGAAGGAACAACCTGCAGTAAAATAGAAAAGTTTAAAATATGATAGAATTCTTTAAGTAAACAATTAATATCTTTTAATTAATAATCTTTAAAGCACATTAACAAGTGTAATGAAAATAATTATTTTAATTATAGAATAATTTTCTTGAATTCAGTTTAACATCCTTTGTATCAACAAAATTTAATTAAAACTTTTCCTCTACAATATCTCGTAATTGTTGTGGTTCTTATCACTAAAAACACTTTTATGATATCTACTTTAGGTAAATTATCATTTTAAAATAGAGAAAAGAAAATTATACTCGTATTATAATAACTGTATTTTCCTTCGACTGTTTTGAACATATTTTCCTTACTTCAATTACTTTGGGAAACTTTTCATTGTTTTCCTTCACTGATTTTCATTCTCTAAATGTAATGCAATTTTATATGGAATTGCGCAGTTTTTTGGTTTGTTTGAGTTTCAAATCGACATGATTACACATGACATCCCTATTCCCTGTACTCGAACAGGGAAGAAGTATCAGAAGGGTTTCTGTTTTTTGTTCCCGAGTGTGTATTTTTAACTCAGTTGTGCGAATTTCATCTTGAGCTTTTATTTATCTATTTATCTTTTGCAGACTATTAAAATTCTAAATACAAAATACTCTGTTTTTGCAAAATGAGCAGTATATGTCCTTCTTAGAATTTAAATATCTTTTATTTAAATTTTGCAGTCTCTCAACGTACGCACGACGGGACTTTTACACTTCTTTCGATTGTTTGTCAAAGCAACTGGATTGATAGGATTTGGATATTTTACAAAAGAAATATTTTAAGATGAAAGTATTGAGACATTTTTGCTACTTATCTTGCTGTGCATTCTAAGTGGTATTTATGGGCCAAAGCATGTTGACCTTCTTAAAGTTGAATGACTTTTAAATTGTCCTAAAAATAAGATTTAAATAGCTTTTTCTTTATTTCTATTTATTTAAACTATTATTGATTTTTTTTAGCTTATTAGTATATAACAACCATTATATGCATTCAAGAAATACATAAATTTTGTAATATTCTTCTGAAAAATATCCAATTACTATTATCCTTATTCTTATTAGTTTATTTATATTCAACAGTCTGAAATTTATCTGTAGTATGAAAATAACTTCTTATTATTTTTATTTTCCACACTCAGATATAAATTAAATTACTTGACCTGTGAGATGAGCGTGTGTATTTCATTCAGATTTTAATATCACAGATAAATGGATTTCAATTACGTTCACAAGTGTCGAGTATGTTTGACAGCAACGCTGTCTGTACTCGTATGAACACAAAACATGGATGAGATTCCGAAATGCGTAAAGGATGCAAAGGAATGTTATATTTTTTAACTCGAGAAAAAAGGAAAAATACACAGGAAGAATTTACTTAAAGCATTTTCAATTCAGGAAATTTAAGAAATGAGTTAAAATGTAACTAAATAAAGAATTATTACGGAACAATGAGTATAAACTTTATTATTAAAGAAAGTGAATCATTTTAATGCTTAAAAAATAATAAAAAATTATTATTGTACTGATAAAAATGATAAAAAATATTTGAAACTAACAAGAAAGAAGATCCAGTAAACAGAAAGTACTGTAAAGTATCTATGAGGCCCTATGCTGCAGTAGGAGAGAAAGACAGCAGTAAGTAAGTAAGTACTTTAAAGAACACTCAACAAAGTAAGTGCATTTATTTGAACAGTTCCGGAAATCCATCTGGAAAGAAAGTGTAGAAAAAGAACATTTAATCAGTTTCTTTCAAAAGTTATTTCCATCGTTTCTGTATATCCGACATTTGTAATTTAATGTCGCAGCTTGGAAAATTTGAAAAAAACTGTATGATATCTTTTAAAAGTCATCTATATCGTTAAATATGAGAACTATATAGCTCATGTATAAAATATATCCGAAATTTGTAATTAAGATGCTTTAACAAAAGCGTCGAACTTAAAAAAAATATATGTAGATTTTGCATATTTTTAATCACTATAATTTTTAGTGACGTCTACCGATTATATTAGGCCTTTTCTTTTGTAAGCATATAGCAAAAGAACAACATAAAATAAGCACTACTTTTGATGGCCAGTCTGGAAGAACCGAAAATTTTGTTTCAGATACACATCTTGTGAGCAGCGTAAAATCTATAATAAAATATAATAAAAATAAAATGACTTAGTGTATTGTTAAGGTTTACTCCGAGGAATTTAATGGTCAGTCTGGAAGAACCGAAAATTTTGTTTTAGATACACTTCTTGTGAGCAGCGTAAAATCTATCATAATATATAATAAAAATAAAATGACTACGTGTATTGCTAAGGTTTACTCCGAAATATTTAAAGGTTAAGACAATTGAAATATGAGAAACCTGACGTAGAAGTCATATTAACGTGTGATGTTCTATGATTTATACAGTCAATTTGCCATTTTGATATAATAATTTATAGTCAATTTAGCTTTGCTTAGTATTAATTTCTGTAGCAATGATAGTCAGCAAAGCAAAAAATCAGAACATTCTTTAAGTATATATTTGCATCCGAATGGATATTGCTGGGTGCAAGATTTAAAAATAAATTTAGAATTATAAAAGAAATCATGTTTATTTACTTGCTTGTCGCTTGCAAGAACTTTAGTAAGGCTAGAGTTTCATCTCTGTATCACCAGTTTAGATAATCTTTCTGGTAGAATTAACAGATGGCTGCTAGTGACTCTATGCTAACAAAATATGGAAGAATCTATTCACATGTTGATGCTGGTTATCACTTTTTTATATAAAATATATATAAAGTCTACCTCATCAACATTTCCACATAAAACAAAAAATGTTGATCCTATATTTTCGCTTTGGCTATTGCATTTCGTTTCTATTGAAACAGAATTTGTTTTAGAATGAATTAGTTGTGCCGTAAGAAATCAATTGTTTTGTTTTGACTTATTGAAAAAGTGTATTTCTTTATTGGTGCGAAAATGAAACAGGGTATTTTTGATATACAATAAAGCAGTTCATTCAGTTTCAATATCTACTATTATATGAATAATATAGTGGACTTCATAAGTCTTAGTACTTTAACACTTTTGGTGTGTTCGATTGGTAAATCTGGATCCAATCTAGATTTACTCTGGATTTATTATATTATCTTTATCAATCAAATAATTTTAGAGTAATGTAGCATTTTTGTACTAGTATTGGTTTATATTCATATTTTTGATAAATACATATATGGAATCAAATCACAATTTATTTGATAGGTGATATAACACCTATCAATAAATTTTAGGGTAACCTTGCTACTCTCGAGATTAATTTATGGTGGTATTAATTAATCGCGAGTGTTATATATTTCGCTCGAGACTTACCAATCAAGAGTAAAAATTGAACTAAAAATAAATCTCGATTAGAAAAGCTACACCAGATTTATTAATCGAATACAGCATTTATTTATAGTTTTGAAAGCCTTTGAATATATATTAAATAATTCATGCGAGTATTGAGTGTTAGTTTCCTATCTCAGTTTATTGACTGAATAGCACGAATAGTATGAACTGTTTTTGTTCATATATGGTAATACATAGTAAATTAATTTCTTCAGGCCTTAACAAGTGTGTAATGAATTCTGTTTATTTTTGATTATTTACACTTTTATAGATGCACATAAAATAATACACAAGTAAAAGTGTGAAAATTATGCTACTTACAGATATATTTATTTATGTTAGTCTCATATATTTGAATTTGATAAAATGTGTGAAATCTAAGTTGCTGAAACTAAGAAAGCACGTAAAAGTGTGTTTCTAAATTTATAACACCGTTGTTTTCATATGACATTTTGTCGTTTACATCTAATAGAAATTAAGTTTAATGGGTAAATAACGTGGGAAGTGAACTTTATTTTGATTTAATTTATTTTAATTTTCATTACGTTTCGACTCTTTTCATATTTGTTTTGTGTTTTGAATTTGGTTTAAAATTAATATCACAAGATATGTACTCGTATTTTTTTCAAAAACTTTCATTTTTTATTTTATTCGTTGACGTCATTAAGGTTTTATTCACTTTTGGAAAATTACTCATACGAATGAAACTCTTTCATCTGCCACTTAAGTAGCTTAACTATAATGTCTCGCTCTTAAACACTTCAATTAACTAAGCAATTTTCTTTTAATTTACCATAAATTGCAGTGTAGTGTAGTACTCACCGTATGATGATGATTGATTAAATGATGATGGTGATGATATTTCGTTGTATGATATGTCTGTTGATAATATGAGCAAAGCTTGAAGAGATGTGATAGCGCCGGAAACAGGAATAGTAAAAATTTCAGTAGCAATTTCTTAGCAGCGCTAACGCCGATCACCAAAGGTAACAGCCAGAATATTTTTATTTTTATGATTTTGACGATTAATAACAAAGCGAGGAATGATAGCATCAATTTACTTTTGAAAAATTTCTCTGAAAAATAATAATACATAGTTTTATTTAAATGAAATATTAAATGAATTCATAAATTAGTAGTTCATTGAGTAATATCAATTCAATTCATTAAGAATTAGAAATATAATTTAAGTTATACTCTGTTCAGACAGCCAAATTTCCTTAATTTCGTAAAAATGAAATTAAGTTAATTTCGAAACTGTTCATACTGCCCCAAATTAATAAAATCATATGTTTTTTGTTTATAAATCGAATGTTAGGGTTACATGCTCCAAACACTATTTATATCTGGGAAATCTTAAAAGTAGATTATTGTAACTATAAAAGATTCATTCAGTAGTTTTATTAGCTTTAGTGGGTTTCAGGTATTATTTTTCACTATATTTTTTATAAAGAACAGTTATAACAATTCTCTATATTCAAATCTAAAAATTTGCACTACTTTCAAAATATATTCCGGTTGTATTAAAATCAACTGTCAATAAATTTTTATATTCCATTTTCCTTAATTTTCTTAAATGTTGTATGGAAAAATTAACTTAATTTCGCTGAAACGAAGAGGAAAGTAAGATTTTTGCGTTATTAAGGTGTGTCTGAACATAGTATTACCCGATTTATAATGACTTGATCAGACAGCACTAATAAAGACAGCACTTAAGGCTTTATGCCCCACAAAGACGCCAAGAATTTACATAAGTAATAGTATTTGACAGCACTTATTCAGTATTACAGCAGAATTATTATTCATGGTATTGAGAATATAGTTCAAAATTAGCTATATTACTAAATATATTGTTTAATAACCTTTATATATGTTAAATTTTTAAAAGCATACTACAATACTGCTGATACTAAAGTGACCATATAATCGTTTACTGCATAGATAAAATTGTGAATAAATGGATCGGAAGTAAACATGCTCAAGCCTAGTCTTCACCGAAAAAAATTATTAGTCGGGTGATTAAATTGTTGTTGTTATTGTAATGTGCTCGTCCATTACACACCGAGCACAGTATCTTAAGCCCATTATAACGTATACTACATTTAGATTTGTATCTCCATTCTTACAAAATTCAGTTAATATAAAAACACGAGCCGATGTGTAAAACACATGTATATTAGACACTTGAATAAAAAGGATTGAATGATGATGAGTAAATCGAATTTTAGTTAGTGATGTATATGATGAATATTTTTTGCTATATGGATACATCAACAAACAAAATTGTTGCATCTGGTCATCTCCAAGTAACTGTCAAAAAACCAGTGCATCTACAAACAGTCAGGGTTTTTTCTGGGGGTAGGAGAGACTTGCCATTTCTAAAAAAGATGATGGTTTGACATAATGAATAAATTTTAATCGCTACATCCATATGAACATCGATTTTTTTATTAAATACAGAAAATCTGGATATGAAAAATATATGATTCCAGCAGCTTGGTACTATTATTCATATAATATCTTAATATGAATGAAAATTAATATATAATAGTTATCTTAATAAAAATAGCATTAATTACAACTTTTATTCAGTTGTCTACAAATCTAAATATGTTTAGAAAATATTGAAAATTTATAATTAAAAAAAAATAAAATTATTGCTCAATTTCAATAAATTAATTAAAATATCTGTTGCTGTCTTTTAATCTCTATTCCCACCCTTCTAACTTTTAAATAGTTTATTTTCGTCATAAGATGTGTCACTTTCGGCAAAAAAAATTAACATAATAAAATTTACTAAAATTGATCAACATTAAAATAATAAAAATAGGGAATTAAATTATAAATAAATTTATAATTTTTATAATTATATGATTTATGTGAAATTATAATTTTGTAAATTATAATTTATTATGAATTCTAGTAAATAAATAACTTAATGTAGATTTGATTTCAAGATCAGCCAGACCACATCTTGGAACCACTTGTCATCGACAAGTATTTAAAATCAGCTAAATGGTGACTCTTATTTGCAAAAAATATAAATCTGATTCAGAGGAGGCTTAGAATGTAAATAGACTATGAATTATCTTTATATAGTTAACAGACTTTATGAAATATTTTTAGCTATCAATTAGGGATTATGACAAGAACTTGTGTTAAGTAATGTCGTTCATATTATTTATAAATTCTTGTCAATTTAATAAAAGTTTGCCACAATAAATGCATGCTATAATTGCCAGTGTTGGGCAATATCACGCAGTATATACAACATTTGCTGGTTCTTTGAGATTATAAAAGTATGTAAATATTACGAAATGTTCACTAAGACTGATGATATGGAGTGCATATTTTGATCATAGTTTCGATGGTGGCAATCGTATTTTCCGCTCTTTGGATTGCCATTTGGAAAATAATTTTCCAAAACGCAAACACAACTATAGTAGATAGTAATAAGTTTCGTGTACTCAAACCAGTGGTACCAGTTTGTAGGTGGGAATTCTTTTGTATTAAAATTTATTTTGTAATTACATGAGTTTATATTTAAAACATTTTTATTTAAAATTTTTGTTTTATAAGAATAAACGATCTTCTTAAATGTCTAGTAGCTTTGCAACTACCGCGTAGTGAAGATATTTCAAAATCATGAGTCTAAAATTTACTTGGTGTGCTTGTGTAAGGCTAACTTGTTTCTATTAGCTAATATCCATAGTTATTTACTTCTATTTGAAAGATTTTACGAGTTGCAGTTTTCGCAGTTGTAGTAAAGTTTAGCAGACAGCACCCACAGAACGCTGTGGCATCTGAAGCTCAACTTAAAACCGATAAAAATTTATATGAATTGAAGTAAGTAATGAATTTATTTTTTTTGATATAATAAATGCTATTATCCTCTTTCAGTATAAAGTTGCCAGATGAAAGCTTTCGAAATGAAATTGCAAAATTACAAGCATCTGAAGGTTCAAAAGAAGATCTATCTGTTACTGGATTTATTAGAATAAATTTTGTGGATACAAATGCAATGGCGAACTGGACATACACTGCGGATAAAAATGGATTTCTTGTTCGCTATATCTACAAGCAGTTAAAGGATACTCAACAACACTTCAGTACTACAACAACAACCTCTCGCCCTACTCCACCCTTACGAACTTATACAACAAGACGACCTCCACAAGCATATGAACCACCAGTATATGATTTAAGTGCTAATGCTTTAAAAAGTTCTGGTGGTTAAGAATATACTCGTAGGATATTGATGTAGTAAGCATCACTTTAAGTTAAGCTTCTCTTAATTTTCTCTTTTATTAGGAAGTCAAAGAAAACGGGGCAAATATGCTGGCGGTTAACGATGTAGTATGCTGATGTATTAAACAACATTTCTTTATTTTCTTACGGGAACTTCGGGATGTCATAACGGTTTTATAACGAAACATTTTGATAATAATAGTTTAGGTAAACTTTAAGTAACTGCATTATAAGTAGCATTGTTTTTAATATAATATATATTCACTTTATTTATAATACCATAAAACACAATACTTAATCACACCCAATATATGTATTATTGTTTATATTAAAGATCACTCATAAATTAATAATATAATATATAAAAAAATCAAAACAAATAAGAAATGAAGACTCTTTAAAATAAACATTGAAGAAAGATGATGTTGTTGTTTTGGTTTAAAGTAACTAAATCCATGACCTCTTATTTCTTGTGATTTATGAGCATTTGTCACGCTCATTGGCAGAGAGAATACATTGTTAAAGTTTCTCCAGAAATAAAAAACACGCTGAGTTCATAAGTTTTGGCAGCCTAGGACTTCGAAATAATTTATGTAGGGTCTTACAAATTAATTAGCCTTAATGATGTCTTAGAAGGCAGTGGCGTATTTAGGGTTGTGGTCAATGTCTTCGTTTTGTTGTGTGAGGAATCTTTTGAACTCGTTGACACCATATGGTATTGTGAATTGGACTATAAAATTATACGATCTGTCGCTAGAGGAATTAATGTGATTTATACGAAAAAAGTTCAAAATCTCTATTCTATCATACATCAAGTTATGGTTAATCTGTTGCCAGTTATGTGCTGATAAGTCAGCTGAGTTTATTTTAAAAGTATCCAAGACTGTAAGATGTCCATTGAAGAATATTTGAATTCAAAACATTTGTCGGATTCTAAACCTTATGGTGAGTTCCCAACAATACAAGAATTTGAAAGAAATTTTAATCGCAAATGTGTTTTCTTAAATCCAACATTTGGAATCACAAAATGGATAACCCTGTACTATAGTTAAAGCTAGCTATTCGCGGAGCACTCTAAGCTGGCTGACCTCACTAATTACTGGACATGGCAAATTCAAGTATCACCTCAAAAAGATAACTCTTGCTGAGGAAGACACTTGCAGACTATATCTAGAAGAAAAGGAGACAGCGGTGCATATATTGTGCCAATGTCCAGCACTGGCAAGTAGGAGGAAGACTGTCTTGGGACACCATTGGGTTGGTGACGACTTGGCAGAAAACCTCAAGCTAAATGAGATGCTAGCATTAACAAAAGATGTAGTTATGCGAACGGAAGCCACTCCAGCTTTAACTCAATAACAACATCCGAGAATCGAAGGACGAAAAAGGACCCAAGTCGTTTCGTGGTCTACTTCGACTAATCCTTCACTTCAGTGGGGCCACTTGTTGGACAGTGCGCTGTCCCAACGTCCCACCATATATATATAGTTAAAGCTATTGAAATTATATATGTATTTAATATGTAAGTTACTTGTTGTAGCTCTTATCTGTTAGATTTTTAAAAGAAATATTATCAATAGCTAAAATCATAAGTTTCGTAGTATTTTTGAGTCATTGATATCTCTTGAGTACAACAATATTTCATTGTTCTATATTCCTCTTAAGTCTCGTTGGAAAATATAAAAATTGTACAAATAGAAAAATTCGTTTTTTTCAAAAGAACTTTAATATTGAAAAGATAAATATTTATCGCAAACATTCCATTCAATGGAATTCAAACTTTATTTGTTTTGTTCAAATGTTTTTAATGCTTTTATTTAAAGAGATTTAAAAAATATACATTAAATTTATTACTGTCCACAGTATCTTTAAGATATCGTTGATAAATGTAGCATTAATATAAAAATTGTGTAATGTTGAACTTATAAATCGTTGTGGAAGTAATTTTATACACATTAGCCCTAAAGGACTTCTGCTTACATGAGTTGTCAACATGTTGCACAATAAGTAAAGGACAAAAAAGTTGAGGATTTTTAAAAATTTTAAATTTAAACAAGCTTTCTCAGCAAAGTTTTAATGGATGCGCTGTGGCTCGATAGCAGGACCCACATACTGAACACACAAATATCTGTCATGAAAGCATGTAAGTACTGCAAAATATATGTTTTGTACAATATATCAAATATATAAATAAATATGAAATTTATGATAGCCGTAATATTGCAAAGATAAAAGCGCAAATAAATGTAAATATATACATATTATTGAATACATATAAATATATGAATTTATACATATACCCAGTCATATATGTAAGTCATATATACTGTACCGATTATGTACTCATATGTTATTATTTTTGCAACACTTTCAGTGTTGGCTTTTCGTTTTTTTTTTTAATATAACATTCCGACTATAAAATAACAATTTTAAAATTACTTAAATATTTCACTCAATAAACTTTTACTTACGTATTTTTTTCATGAGAATTTTTCCGGCCAAACGAGCCTCCACCTCTTGCTTGGGTATAAACTCCAATTTTGCTATCATGCCATTTCCCTCGAACGAACGTGGGGAAATGCGAAAAGTGGCTCCATCGAAAAGTGTCTCAGGCAGTTTTAGCTCCATATTGTGTGTCAATGCGAACTTGATACTCTTGCCATATAAGGCATTCGTAACCTCTTCGATTGGAGTTTCAGCAGCTGCGGGATATGAGATACATGAATCAGATTTTAATAAGTGTTATTTATGCAAATATCAATTACAATCTATTTATAAATTGCTATTTAGCTCGTTGCCTATTTATTTGCTTAATTGACTTAATACTTATTTGTAAATACCATATTGTGACCCAATGAATAATCCTAAAATACAGAAACACAAATACGAGTAAGACCTTTGCGGTTGAGAGACGAAAGTAATTTATGCCAGAGGCTGTTTTGTATTTCTCACTTTTGCGGTTTTAAAGTATTTCTCTTAATGAAAGCAACTAAATTACTAGCAAAAGTTTTTAAAAGTTTCAGTTTAAAAATCGATTTCATTTAAAAAATAGATTTGTGGTATCGAAAGGGTTTCATTAATTTAAATACCAGCGAGGAAGCTTAAAAGAAAAACCTTTTACTATGAGATTTCGAGGGATGGAAACATAAACTTTTTTGTTTATAGCTTCTTCCTTTGTGGGTTTAATTAAAGATTTAAGATAAAACGACAAAGTTGACTGTATTTTTAATGATAAGGGAAAGAGTCAGTTTTTTACAGTGTTCTGGTTAATAGCATCAGTTAAGATTTCACATTATTCCTAATTTATTTTGCTGAGTATTTGGTTGAGTATGGAACGAAACATATTTAAAATTTTGATTATAAATGATTGATTTTAAATACAATTCAGATTTTAAGATAAAGTTAAGTTATTTCCTTTAGTGATAAAGTTTAAAGTAATGATTTTTTTTTAATCTTAACTTTTTTTAGTCGAGTGTTACGCACCTTATGATGAAAAGAAACTATTTATAAGTTAGAAGAATACGAACAGTCATAAAGAAACAACAACGTACATTTTAGTTAATTTATTGAAATTTGGCTGACCAAACAACGCTGTTTTGTCATGTACTTATCAGTGATCTTAAGAAACATTCGAATTTTTGTTTAATTAGTTTATAGTCCGTATATAATTTGTTGGACTGCAAGTGCCAGACTTAGAACTCATACCTGTCAAATTAGAAGCGATGACTAATCATATTTTTCTAAAAGTAGCCAAGGTTGCAAAAACTTTCAATGCTCAAGTTGCAGGTTTTTTTTATTTTTTAAGTAACACTAACCAAGGGACTTGCCTTACTTTTGAGTTAGAACGAGCTTATAAACCACAGCTTTATTTGGAAACGCAAGTTAAACGAATTGAAAGTTAACTCTTGAGGTTGCCTATTTATATTTCAAAGCTATTCTTATGTAGAGATATCTGATATGCATATTGTTTACTTACTATATGTACCATATGTGCCTTTCTTGGGTGCAATTTTACAAAGAAGCTATATAAATGCTACTCTACAAGCTCACGAGTAGGAAAATCTGAACAATATTTTAAACAACAATAAGAATTTTAAGAAATAATGATATTTAAATAATTAATAATTTATAGTAAAGCACCTTTCCATAATATTGTGATTTATGAAACTCAGGCTATAGTTTTTGGTATGTGAATTAAATATATTTTAGTCCAAGAAATAAAGAAGTCGACAGAATGAGGGCAGAAATGATTGATGTGGATATGTATTAAATATTTGTTCTGAACCTGGAAATTTCCATGAAGATGCTGCAGTCATAGTTTTTATAGTAAGCATATCGAGTAAGGTTTATAAGTGATTTCATCTAGAATCCAGAACAGCTTAGTTTTTGTTTAAATGCTGATGAATAATAGGTGTGTTATAAAAACTGTTAAAATGTTAGATTGTTAAGATTTTTTAAGTTTAACTAAATGCTTTATAACCCTTAGAATGTGTCGTTGTTTTAGAAAGTCTAAGAAGAAAAATATTGAAATGGGTCCTCATTGTAGTAAATGATAATATAGGTCTGTCTTAATTTTTTTTATTTTCTAATAAAAATGAAGTGAAAATGTCAACAATGCAACAATTTGGATGTGGTTCTGTTCCTTGAGGTATGGCATGGAGTAATCAATTAAAATCGAACTTTGTTATGGGAATGGGTAACAATGTAGTTCCATGAATAATAGACATATTTTCATTCATGTTCCGTTGTTTTCATTTTACTTTAAATTCCATATTTTTAATTAATTAATTAAAAACTTTCATAGCAAAAGTAACAAAACTCCAGCAAAAATATGCGAACATAAACAGTCAAGTACGGCTTTGGATCAGTTGGTTAAGGTGCGCTGATTCTGAGCTTCATATTTGGCAGGACCCGAGTTCGATTCCTGGTACTTGCAGTCTCAAAAATAATTATTTACGAATAATTAAATATAAGAATTATTTCCAAGACCACTGATGGTGGGTATTTGGCAATACTCGAAACAGCTGTATGGTCAGCCAAAAATCCAATTAATTAAAATAATTTAAAAAATAAATTTTTGTTGATTCACTTCTGTTCGAAAACATCTCAATTAATTAAGAAAAAACTATAAATGATATATACTTATTTTATTATAAATAATATTATGTTGTGTTTTATGAATTAAAGCTTGAGTGAGGTATATGTCATTCAGATGATTCTTGGATTCTTATTTATATGAGTATTCTTAATGTCTACCGTAATGGGTTTAAGTCTGTTTTTTGTTTTTTTGTTAAAATAAATTTACTGAATTAAATTTGTGTTCTAATGGTATTTGAATATTATCTTGGATAATATTTAAATTAATTGATTGATGATTTTTGTTCTTTAAGCAAATCAAATTTATCTTCCAAAGATATTTAGATATTATCTTAAATAGTATTTAAATTAATTGATTGTCTATTTTTATATCGGTTTATCTTTATTTATTTTATATCGGTTAACAATTTTTAAATTTTGTAAAAACTTATTAAAATTTGTTCTTTATTGGAGTGTGAGATATGCTTTCTACCATAACAGGAGTAATGGTTATAAGGTAGCGATGTTGGTATTTATAAATATTTAAAAAAAAACTAATACAAATATATATACTTATTCAATTTATATATATTTACAGATAATTATCCACAAATATATGAAAAAAATTTATGACTAACCATTAAAAAATATTTTTTATGTTATATTTACTTTGGTTATTTGTTGTCAAACATACTTCTTCTTGCATTTTCTAATAGTCTATTGTAGTAAGTAATTTAGTTATTTAGTAGTAAAATTTCTTTTTTGACTTATACTATTAACGGAATTTCTATTTTATGTTCACTGGAATGCAATTGGTTTTAATAATAAATATTTGCATAAAAATGAATTTTGCCTTGAACGGCGTTAAAATGTTTACTTATTTGTCGAACTTTTTATTTGAACAATAAATTAAGAAAAAATATTTGCACGTTTGGCTAATTGAATTTACAAACACTAAGGAAAATGTCTAAAGAAATGCTTTCTCGAAACAAGACTTCCATAGAAATAACTTCTAACACACGCCCAAGTCAGGAAACCCTAAACTCGACTTCGCGGCAGCCGCTAATTTTGTTTGAGATATTAATACTCGTATCTGTCGAATCTTTCTGAATAAAAGCAAAAACAATAAAAATCACTGAAAGGCGTTTTTAAGCAGAAAAAAATTTATCACTTTTTACACGCACATGAGTGTAGATACGAACTGTTTTAGTACTTTTGTCTGTCTGTGAGCCAAGATTAGTGAAAGTTGAAATTTTAAGTAGAAACTGAGGCGCGCACAGCTCAGTGGAGAAAGAAGTTCCAAATGTAACAGAATTTGTTATTCAACATCGACAACACATGTGGGCAACGAGAGACGAAAGAGACTACAAATCGAACACGAATGAGTCAAAACTTTCATAATCGAGAATTTATATGCAACGCCCGAGTCTGCTAATTTATCTAACAGATAAAAAATCACTGAAAGTGAATTTGTAAGGTCAACTAAGAAAATCAATAGAAACGAGAAGAGTGAAAAACAATAAAAATCGAAACCGAAATCGAAAGTGAATTCATTATTTTTCTATATTATCTCGTTTTAGTTATAATTTTGTGGATTTCAAATATTTTCTTTGAAATCTAATGCACTCACCTGCTCTGCCAGTTTGTGGTATTTCATTATAGTTTAAATGTTCATTTGCATCGTTGATTTCATCTGGATTTACTGCGTCCTTGGCGGCAGCTGCTTCTGTTGGTGCCTGTTGCTCCGCACTGTGCTCGGCACTCTGCTCCACGTAATCAACACTATTTTTGAAGAATTTAAGACGCTGCGTTACATTCAGGTCCTGCACATCCAGGGCTTCATTCAGAAAACCATAAACGTTTTTCTGAAAGCAGGAAAACGTTGGTTTGTGGTAGCAGTCACGAATAATGCCATCCCACAGCTCGTTGCCAGTGGAAAAGCGTTTCGCAATGTTCATGAAAATGGAATCACCACCAGTTCCGTCTGTGTGCACTGGTTTAAGTGGTTTTAGTGGTTTGCTCTTGAAATAATTTGTAGTGCTGTTTTGCAACATAAGTTTTAAGCTGTCAGTATCTATATCTGCTGTTGCATTTGTTATTGGTAACTTTTCATGTAGATACTTGATTGTCGTTGTAGATATTTGTTCATCAGCTTTTATATTCGATGGTTTCGATGGTATGGTGCTTATGTGCATTTCATCCGTTTTCGCGAATGCAACAGCAAACGCATTCGTCGTTGACATGAAAATGGCTAGTATGGTTAGCCATTTTCGCATTTCACTCATCTTGTGTGCAGGAGAAAAGTGGGATTTCGTTGCTGATTTATTTGTTTTACTGAACTGATCTCGTTTGTTTCGACTGCCGCGATTATATGTATTAACTCTGCACTTATTTAGTTTATTGGAATTTGTTCCTATTGACCAATTCGGTAATGTTCTCGTTTTCTTTGCACTTTCAAATGTACTTTTCACTAAATTATATTCAATGTCATTTGATTTATGGTTTTTATTATATTCGCACTCATTTTCATTATAATTCATAGTTTGTTGAGCATTGTGACACATTTTTATTCTTTTGAGTTTTAACATTTTGACAACAGTCTATAATTTTGGTTTTCCTATTAAATGTTTTATGAAGATAATTAGTCTTACACTTGTTTTAGCTTTAGTACTTTCAATATATTGTAAGCTGTAAATAGAGCAATAAAAAAAAAATTATAAATAATATAAATATTTGTGTTCTATTCATATTCTATTAATATTCTATTTATATTTCATTTATATTCTAATTATATTCTATTTATGTTCTATTAATACACAATTTATGTTCTTTTTGTGTTCCATTTATATTCTATTTATATTTATTCTATTTATATTCTATTCATATACTATTTATGTTCCTTTTATATTCCGTTTATATTCCATTTATATTCAATTTATATTCCATTTATATTCCATTTTTATTTCAATTGTATTCCATTTATATTATGTTTATATTCTATTTACAATTTTTTTATATATTATTCATATATATTTATTTTTATATTTAATAATATATATATATTCAACACAAAATTAAAAACTTAACATAAAAATTCTTCTTAAAACTTCTTCTCGATATTGTAATTTTAAATGTTTTAGTTTTTGACATAGTTTTCTCACATGTTTGCAATACAATAATATTGGTATTATCTATGTTATTTTATATTATATTTGATAAAACGTTTTATTTATGATCTATTTACATTCTATTTATATTCTATTTATATTCTACTGATATACTATTTTTATTTTATTTATATTTTATTCATACTCTATTCATATTCTATTCATATTCTATTTATATTCTATTTATATTCCATTTATATTCTATTTATATTTTTTTTATATTCAATTTATAAACTTTTTGAATTTTAGTTATATTTATATTCTTTTATATTACTTTATATATTTATATTTATAAACAACAATTAATTTTACAATTATTTTTATTTCATGATGAAACTATGACTATAATGATAATCAATTAGTCTGCAAAACCATTATATTAAACATCGATTTTATAATATAGTTTTTTATTGCGTCAATGCCACCCCTTACTGAAATTTACCACAATTATAATTCAAGAATGGATTTTCTAAAATTTTAAATTAAACACTATTTTATATTTAGCTATATGTCGATATAGCTTAATTGTCGAGATATTAGGTTTTATAGTAGTAAACTTCTTACAATGATAGCTCCGACAAGAATGTCATATATCTTTTATGAAATATATGAAGGTATCAAAGCATTCAATGGTTAACCAGAAATGGGCTTCGGATCATTGAGACATTTGTGTAGGTATTAAATACGTTGCCTGTTTCACTAAAGTAATAAAGCGGTTTCTAGAAAAGTCTAGTTCATGTAGTAAAGGGTTTAGGGTGCTATACACATGAACATATACACATGAACATATATACATATAAATATATAAAATAATATAATTTTATATATTTATATGTATATATGTTCATGTGTAATAATAATAATAAAAGGTATTCGTGAAAATTGCCCAACAGCCGGTACTGCGGCCAGAAGAGACCTATTGTACCAGTTTCACTATTGATTAAACAAAGCCCCTTAAAGCTTTGTGAATAAAGTCTAGAACTAAATCTAGAGAAGAGTTCTTAATCTGTTCTGGTGACAGAAATTCCTTATGAAACAGGTTTCTTCTGTGCGTTATTAAAGCTGGACAGTCACAATGTTCATGTGTATATATATGTACTAATGTAAACTGGTTAAAACAATGGTCCTAATTCTTAAGTGTCCAAGTGAGTATCCAAGGAGATAATCATATACAAGATGTGCTGACACGTTCACCTACCTTCCCTAATAAATCAAAAATCAGTCTATTGTGAATGTCAACTGGAAATATATTGCAAAGTTCCAGTCATCTGTTTAAATGAATTGAGCATTTCATTGACTTATACATTCAAACACATAAATAAATAAATTAGTTTAAATATATAAGAAAAAAATACTGATCTCGAGGAGGTATGCAGATCTGAGGTCAGTTATTGCTTAATCTCATGAAGTAATAAACAATAATCCAGTCAAGACGTAGAGAGAGGATCTACGCGAGAGAAACCTCGCAGTTAATAGGGAGTAAAAGTGCTCAAGTGCACTGACTCTACTTGCCTCAACCTAATCATACAATAAAAAATATATATATAAAAAAAACATTAAACATATTTTAAAAGTGATGCCAATTTGATTCAACCAGACTTAATGCTGTTTTTTCACAACTCTGAAAGAAAAAATTATGGCCAATATATACGAGGTATAAGTAGGTATAAGTTCAACTAATTTATGGCTTAATTTTCTTTGCGAATGCAACTGCAATATATCCAATGTTAATATCCTGTTTGCTTTGCATTAGATTCAATTACAAAAAATTCAGAAACTAAATAAATATTAATATAAATGAATAAATATTAATAAATAAATTACATTGTAAATTACTGCAAATTTTAACTTCTAATTGATATTTTAATGGGATTTATCTCAACATTACATCCATTTTTGTAAGCAAACAATAATCTGTAATTCACTTTCACTTTTTTGATGAATAGTATCTTTGTTATATTATTTTAAAAGTAAATTTAAACTAATTCTTTAACTAAATTTGTTTAACTGTGCAATTTTTTTCGATAATATTTATTGCAGCTATTATATCTTAAAAAACGATTAAAGTAACTTTTATGCAAAGGTTTCTCACATTTATCTCAAAACAAAAAATTTGAAGACTTCAAATTTATTAGGAACCTTCAAAAAAGTGCGATATATAAGTACATTAAGATTATAATAACTCTCATAAGATGATATTAGCGTTTTATTTAAAAAATTTAACACAACTATTTGAAGTTGGTAAAGATTAAGCTCTTTGAGTTAGCCGCATCAAAAGTTATGAAGATATATTTTATTAGTCATGATAAGATCGGAATTAAATATATAAATTATAACGTTTAACTAAATTAATTATCTCATTACATTTGTTTACAATAAAATTATGTTAAATTTTTATTTTTTTTTGTTTAAGTTTTCTTTTGATTTTTTTTGGTTTTCTTAATATGAACTTAATATGGTCAAAAAGGAAAAAGTTTTAATATACCATAAATTCTTGAAATATAAACATTTTTTGTTGAAATTATATTAAAGCAATTCTAGTTGAAAGTCATCAACTATCATTTCTGATTGTCTTCAGATTATACATATCAATCACTTAATGGTAGGATTGATTATACAAAATATTTATACACAAACACATACGAATTGACATATATACGAAAACATAGGCGATGAAAGATTTTAACGAAGATCTACTTAAAATATTTAAATGAAAAATCTATCCAAAATTATAGGATCCACTTTTTAAGACGCTTGTCAAGTAAGGCATAATCATATTTCATGTTATGTATGTAGCTTCTGACTGCAATAGCTCGAACCAGAATATGGTAAATAAGAACTGATTGTGATGTATGTAGTGGCGATTAGGGGTTCTTGATAATACAAGATATAGTAGGTATAGTAAAATAATATTAATCTTATAATATTTGACAATATTTTTAATCTACATATAATTAAATGAGTGAACTGTAAAAGCATCGCTAGAAATATATTTTCTAGTATATTCATCCTTTGGCTAAATCCCGGTTACACCATATGGTAGAAAAAGTTTGCTCACAAGGTATTTTAATCGCATTTTAGTCGAAATAACTACAATACTATACAAATACATAAAGAAAATGTAACAAATCTTAAATGGAACGGTCTAAATCTACTGATATAATATGATATTCGATGATAATGTTGATATTTATAAATAATGACTAATATTCCATTTATCAATCTGTCTATTTAATACATTGTTATGTATAGTGCGATATTATTTATATTTAAAAACAAACCATAGCCCATTAAAAACCAATACAAATCAAACAATTTTATTGAAAATTTTCGGAAGCAATTCTACCTATAACTTATGGCACTATTTCAGGTGAGAATCCATAACATTTATTGGTTACGAATCACCATGTCAGCAGGAATAGGAGGTGCTTGTGGGACTGAAGCAAAAATGTGAATCGAAGGACTATATATATTTCCACTTATATACATTTATTATTAATGCATTATGACTCTTTTGGAAAACAAACAACTTTTTTTAATTATTAAATCTAGATACAGACCAAAGATATTTAATGTAACTTAATATTAATAATCAAAATAACGACATAAGCATAATTCAAACTCTAATTAATTACACATTTAATAAATTAAGTATACTTGTCTAATCAGACTGCTGTATTTTATATATATATTACGTATTAATCAAAGTTAATTTTGCTAAAAGTAATGAATATTTAATGATCTTATATGATGTTTAGACTACTTTACTTAACTCGGCATATATGCAGCAATATGTGCAATTTTCGCACAAAATCTATATTACTTCCGTATAAAAATATACTAAGGGTTACTACAGGGTATAAGGTTCCATAAGTTTGAATGTAAATATAATAATATATATTCAGTAAGTTTCATGAGTTAAATGTTCAAAAACGGATTCAACATACTATATATACTCAATTAACATGCAGGGTTGTAGAATGAAAACGCTCCCATATATGCATTAATCATAAAATGCACAACAGGATTAATATATATAAATGAATATATAATACAATACAAAATATTGTAACATAAAATTACAATAATTGTAAATGTGTGTATACTTCTGACCAATTACCTACATTTTTATATATACTGTACACAAAAAGTACAGCACTTCAAGTTGGCAACACTTGTGCTGTCAAATATATAATTTGCTATTATAGTTTCTTTTAAATCATTTTTTTTTGCAACTGTATGCTA